TGTATTGATTTTCTTTCTTTTTAGAAGTGCTTAACAAGCGTTTTAATTCCATAGAGCGAGCCATACTGGCAGCCATAAAACGAGATTCTAGACGTTCTCAGATGGTAGCAGAAGTGCGTAGAGTGTGAACTTCAACAACTATATCACGAGATAAAGTAGCAAACAACCAAGAATGAACTGTTTGATCAAACTTTAACCAATAATAGTATTCATTATTCACAACTTCTCTACGTAAAGCATCTAAAATATATTGAGGAGGGGTAGCAATGGTACCATCTAGAAACCCTAGGAGTCCATGAGACACCAGAAAAGACTCGAACTGAGTGCGCTAGGGTAGATAATCTTTGACAGCATCGAGCTTTGTAGTAACAATATTGGTGACATTCGGTGTCGAAAACCCCATAGACTGTGCAATTTCCTCCAGAGAACTCTGTTGGCTGCTGCCGGCCTGCCTAGTGGCTGAAAAATAGGAGGCGGAGCCAACCCCTGTACACCAACGAACGTGGGGCCTCCAAATTGAGGCTGCTGAACAGACGGTACCTCAGATGTCGAACGAAGAGGACATCATGCCGTGATGGGGGAGGACCAGTCAAACGTTGGTGGAATCCACACAGATTCATCAACATCCGAGTGACTCATCGGAAATGGTGCTGAAAACGAGGGAGGCACCGGATTGGAGGTGGAGCCGAACATCAGGGAAGTCGAAGCTGATGCCGGAGAGTACGTGGTCGGCATAGTAACGGGGGAAGGCGCAGCCATGATGACGGGTGCTGCCATACCTTGAGTCGTTGCCGTCGTGGGCGGTGCGCTAGGTAGAGCGGATGCGGCGGAAGTCGACGCCATAAGGAAAAAAATAGACTCTTGATACCATGCGAGATTAATGAACATCCTTAACCAGACTGGTAGCCCTGAGAGTCCATTAATAGAGAAATAAGTTGTCTATTACAATCAGGATACTGACTAATAATTAATTCTAATTAATCTACACTATTACAGATAATTACAATTCCTATATAAAATTAGGTAACCATCGTGCTTATTAACGGTAACTTTGATTTCACATGGTGAATTCAGAAAAAGTAAAATTTAAGATACTTTTCTAATTGTATTGACTGAACACTCGAGGCGGATCGTATAGCCCACGGGTAATAATAAGATATGTAGTAGTTTTGAAATGGGACTTAAGTCTTTGTTCAACAGAGTTAAGCCACTAGGCAGACCGGCAGTAGTTTGGGGGGCAACCCCCAGCTTGGATGGTCTTAAGTTCGAATCCTGCAATGGGAGTGATTATTGTGACCTTCCCAAGCTGTGAACTGGTCAGTTATGGGTAATTTAGGCTAGTTTACCTTCTTGTGGTCCTTTGCCGGCTAGGGTCACAAGGCTCCGGATTAGTTTCGGGTAGCCGAGTATACCGGATGTCAATAAAAAAAAGATATGTAGTAATTTTGTAATGCGTGGGCTATTCAACCAGCGACATTGCTTTACCTCTTAGTCGAACGCCGCGGGCGCTATTAAAGTCCGTGTTTGAAAATAGAAAAGTCAGTCGTGCTCATATTATGGAGGAGGAATCATAACATGAGACATTCACGTACGGAGTAGGACCTCATTTCTTTCTGGCTTTTGAAGCATATCCACCTTTACAAAAACTTTAGTTGCATTTTATACGTTTTTAATCGGATTGATTGCCAACTTTCACTCCGCATCACACCAACTAAAATTAGATCTCATTAGATCAAATTTTAATAAATCAAACCAGACTAAAAATAAATTAATTCAATTAAAAATATCCTAATTAAATTCTTACAATCAGATTAGATCAAATTTTATTAAATCAGACCACGCTAAAAATAAATTAATTCATTTAAAAATATCTTAATTAAACTCCTATAAACTAAAACTGATTTTTCATGAATAGTCAAAAAAATGAGGATCTAGATACAAACTAGCAAAGTTCCAAGGTCCTAGATTTGAAATTAGGGATCCCTTACATATGGGTGTGGTGGTGTATATAAGAGCCGTGTTAGTTCTGCGCTTCAACATATCTTGTGATTTCCAATTCACTCAACTACGTACTATTTTATCAACTTCTCCTCTTGTGTAGTCGTTCTAGGCGTTTTACCTTCACCCGGCCTGATCCAATGGCATCCAGGCTTGCAAGAAGGTACATATATAGATATTGTGATATATATATATATATATATATATATATATATATATATATATATATATATATATATATATATATATATATTCTTTTCAGATTAATAGTGGTGTAGTTTAGATTATGATATACCTCCGTCCTTTAAAACTTTGTCAAGTTTGACCGACACGGAGAATAATAAAGTAAAAACTGGGTGGTTGAGGTTTGTGCAGAGGAGGGAGAAATAACATGAAACACAAAATAATTGATTAAAAGGGAAAATGACAAAGTTTTTTGTGACGTCCAAAAGGAAAAATGGCAATGTCTTAAGGGGGGAGGGAGTATAATATTTGAGTTATAAATTTTATGGTTTTATGTAAATACTTTTATCAAAAAATATTTTCAAATTATTTTTAATCATATAATAGCCTCCTTACTTTTGAAATGTGGTTGAGGAACACATCCCTAATTTATTAGGGAGTAGTTGGTAGTACAAATGATTATATGGGATATTCGGGTATTCATCGTGGAACTTGATTGCCTTCATCATATATAATTGTCCGATTTAAAATGTGAATCTCCTGGTTAGGCTGGAAGGAAAGGTGGCGCTGATCACCGGCGCCGCCAGTGGCATCGGCGAGAAGACGGCGAGGCTTTTTTCGAGGCACGGGGCTAAGGTGGTGATCGCCGACGTTCAGGACGATTTAGCACAAAAAGTATGCAAAGATTTGGACGCCGAGTTTGTCCACTGCGACGTGACGAAGGAGCCGGACGTGGTCAACGCGGTCAACGCCGCTGTTTCTAAGTTCGGCAAGCTCGACATCATGCACAACAACGCCGGGATCGGAGGGACTTTCCGGGACAGCATTCTTGACGAAGAGAAGTCCGACTACGAGCGGGTCATTAGTGTGAACCTCGTCGGCACATTCCTCGGAATCAAACACGCGGCGCGAGCTATGATCCCCAATGGGCGCGGCAGCATACTCACGACGGCCAGCGTGGCCGCCGTCATCGGCGGCGTTGCGCCCTACGGGTATACGAGCTCGAAGCATGCCGTGTTGGGGCTGACGAGGAACGCAGCGGTGGATCTGGGACGGTACGGGATCCGGGTCAACTGTTTGTCGCCTCATCTCTTGGAGACGCCGTTGACCAAGGGGTACTATAAGATGCCGGCGGAGGAGTTGAGTGAGGTCTATTCAACGTTCAAAGGGGAGGAGCTCACGGCGGAGGATGTGGCGGAAGCGGCTCTTTTCTTGGCTAGTGACGAATCGAGGTACCTCAATGGGGAAAACATGGTTGTTGATGGAGGTTTTACTATTGTCAACCCGAATTTATGTATTTACAAATGATATTGTGACTTGTCAAGTGTGCATTTCTACGTCCATTCCTTAAAACTCCGCCAAAGTTAATCGGCACGGAGAATAATAAAGTAAAAACTGTGTAGTTGAGGTTTGTGGAGAGGAGAGAGAAATAACAAAAACCACAAAATAATTGATTAAAAGAGAAAATGGGCAAAGGTTTTTGGGGCGTCCCAAAAAGGAAAGATGACAAAATTTTAAGCGACGAAGGAGTATTTATTTTGTTGTTAAATAACTAGCACTACCTATCATATAATTAACCAAGCATTCTTGTCCATTTGGTTGTACGATCTATCACCATACTTAGTGAGACGTCTCGAATTCGAAACCCGTTAAATATACAAGGGTTTAAAACTTAATGAGTTGGGTTTCAGTCCTGTTTACTCCAGGATCTATCAACCCCTTCCCCGGACCCCTTGGAGTAAAAAAATTAAAAAATCAAACAATTATATCTTGGAATCATTACATCACGTGAATGGTGTACGGATCTCACTGAGGCATTAATATATGTACTCTTTGTATTTCTTTTTCTTTCCTGGAGTAGTAAAGTGCATTATTAGTATTTTAAAAAAATTCAAAGAAGCCTCCTAACAAAAAAGATCTTGAACTTGAATTTTTTCCTGAATTAATAGGGTTGATTTCAAAATAATTTCAAAAATTACTTGTTACCTGCGGAACTACAACGTAGCACTCCAGATACCAACTTCAAACGTGGGACCAAAAATTTAGAAAAACAATTATTTTCTTTAAATGAATATAACTTTTTTATTTTAACTCCATTTTGTATAAATAATATATCAAAATTCATAATTTTTTGTGATCTTTCATTTGAAACCAATATTGAATATATAATTTTTTCTTTAAAAAAATGAAGAACATACCATGTCCGATTGAAATTCAAGTGTATCTCACTATCTCCGATTGAAATTTCTTTCCCACGAGATTATGTTTAGGCTAAAAAATCATAGCATATTTCATAATTTTTTATGGTCTATTATATGAGTTTAGTATTGCATATGTAACATTAAAAAAGCTAAGCCTAAAATTGGTTAGGTGAAAAAGTTTTTTCAAATTTTTTAATGTTATATATGCAATATTGGTCTCATATGAGAGATCTTCTATCATAAATTATAAATTTTGATATAATATTTTAGCCTAAACTTGGTTCATTGGGAAATAAATTTTGATTGGAGATACAATTTTGAATTTTGTTATTTCAATCGAACGTTGAATGCTATTCAAATCTTAAAAAGTTATATACTCTGTATGCAACATTGGTGTCAAATGGTAACCTATAAAAAATACCTCCTCCGTCCCAATTTGTTTTGCAAACTTTCCTTTTTTGGCTATCCTAAAATGATTTTCCACTTTCTCTTTTTGGTATCCAAGTATAAAAAAATGACCTCTTTACCCTTACTATTATTACCTTACGAAGGAATTGATTGTACTCCCACCCACCCAACCTACCGATGAATTAATTTCATCTACTATTCACCTACACACTCTTCTCTCACCCTCTCCCTGAATTTATCGTTCCAGCTTCTTCTCTCACATATCTACCACTCTTTTCTCCCATCAACACATATATACCTTCAACTTCTTGGTCAACGGATGAAATGGATTCTAACATGTTGGTCTCCATGGTCAACGAGAGTCCTCTGTTCAGTGAGTTTTGCTGTGATTCTCAATGCCTAGGGTTATGTGTGGAAGACAGAGATGAACAAATTAAAGAAGGTGTAGGGTCCTGCGATGAAGCAAAGGGGCTGAACGGTGAATGTCATCTCCTCCTGCGATGAAGGGCTTCAACGACGATGTTTGCTCAACGACAATGAAGGGGTTCAGCGATGATGCTTGCTCAACGACGATGAAGGGCTTCAGCGAAGATGGCAAGGGTTCACCTTTCTCTCACCAGGGGGTTGTCGATGGTCCGAGTACCAAGTGTCCATGGGCGTATGAAAACAAACACCAGAATCCGAGCAACGAATTGATTATAATCCCTGGCTCGGATCCAAAAATGAGAAATCGATCGGTAAATATGTTCACCTATATATTTTGTGAATAATTTAAAATTTTTGACTTGAATTCGTGTGAAAAGCTTGTGTTGTTGATGTTTTCTTCCCTCTATATTGTGTCAATTAACTCCATGGGTACATTTTCTGTCACTTCACCTGCTGCCATTCCTAAAGGCCTTTGCAAATGCGCAATTGATTCTTCAACCAAAATACGATCAACTAAAATGACATTAGGTAGAATACCTAGGCTTTCAAGTCTTCCTTTTCCCATGTGAGGCAGCTTGTATTTGTTGTGACCTTTACATTTTAGCACCTCTACCATAACTTGTTGTAATGTCCACCATACACGGTTTAAATTTCTTGAATCAAGCTCATCAAATGATCGTTGTACATGATTGACCAAGTCATCAATATTTTTTGAACTTTTTTGATGCTTTAGTGAATCAATAGCCCTAAACCATCCTAGATCTAACACATTTAGGTCAGGACTATTAGGAGGTTGACATGTTAACTGAATGTCCCATTCACCTTCTGTTGCTTCCTTCACAAAGTCTATGTCATCACACTCTATATGTGGCTTAGCGTTATCTTGCTGAATTATTATGCGTTTGGCAGTCCCTTCTGGCCATTTCTGTTTGATGACAGGCAATATTTTCTCAATTATAAACTGTTTAATTACGTCCCTTGTGATGCTTGCAATAGGCTTTGTGACTGGACTTCCTCTTGATCTATTTCTACTGTTTCTTTTTGTCGTATCTTGGTAAGTGAATTTGAATTTGAATTTGTTTGACCATGTTTGAACGAGCGTGATTGTCTTTTTTATTATTGATAGATAGTGTACCCGGGGGTAGCTTATCCGGGGGGGGTTACTGCGGGGAGTAACTTATAGAGAAGTCAGAGCAAATAAGTAAGAGAGATAAAGAGTTCGAATATGGATTGAGTATTCCAATCGGTTTTTACACAGGGGAAAGGGGCAGCTATTTATAGTAGTAATAAATGCGATGAGAGTACACGTGTCAATAATCTAACGGTCGAGGGGTCACCTCAACCGAGGTGGCACCAGCACCTGCATGTGGCCGCATTAAATGCGGCGGTTGGATGATATGTTGTATTTGGTACGGCGATCCAGGCGCATGTGGAGAGGAGATTCTGTCGAGAAAGGTGCCTTTGGATGTAGATGATAAGCCGAAGGCTCTTCATACTGAGGGACTCTCAGTGTCGAGGGCTCTAAGTGCTGAGGCTACTGATCTCACAGTTTTCTCCCGGTAGCTTCGTATGCCCAAAACCAGCTGTCCTGTGGGATTTCGAGCCTTCGGCCTAGGGCCGAAGGCGTCCATATGTGCAACATGGGCTCCTTGATATTTGGGGAGCTGTGATTTGGGCCCGTTATGCTTCCTGGGCTTGTTGGGCCTGTGCCAGCGTAGCGGGAGTCTGTGGGCCGGGGGGGGGGGGGGTCCTGGGCCATATACTCCATCAGGAGTCCCTCACTCCTTTTGCCGAAAGGTACTTGAGGGAAAAGGAGTAGTTGTGTTTGTCCTCTCATGCTGCCTTGTTGTGGTTTGTAAAGTAGTGAGAAGTTTTGCTTTTGTATGTTCTGCCGAGGGCAGTTCCTCAGTCCCCCACATTTATGGACTTGGAGGATTATGTTGATGTTTTGGGGAAAGTTTAACATTTTGTGATTTTTCTCGGAGGGGTCCTCTAGTCCCCCACTCCTTGAGGCCATTGTAATGAGGTGAAAAGGAGTAGAGCAGTGCCTGTTTTTATCATAGGGCCGAAGGCTTGTGCTTTTCGTTTCATTTTGGGGGGGTGCCTCGTTAAAACCTCATTAGGAAAAACCCTGTGGGAAAAAATCCTAAAGAGGGAAAAAGAGTGCACCGAATTCCCCCAATGATGAATCGAAAAGGGGAACCCTTGGTCTGAGATAAAGGACAATGTTGATGCCGAGAGGTGTCCGTGAGTTGAGGGCCTTCTTCCTGGTTTAGCCGAAGGCTGATTGTTGATATCCCGGGATCGCCGAGAGGAGTCCCTCAGTCATCGGGGCTGAGGGCGTGTTGACATTGGTGATAGCTCCTGTGTTGCCGAGGGGGGTTCCCTAGCTCTTGATAAGTTGGAGGCTGAGGGCTCCCGAGGGGTTTTCCCGTTGTGAAGCCGGGGGCTCCCCTTGATGAAGGAGTTTGAAGGAGTTAGCCCGAAGGCATGCATAGTGTTGTCTGAGGGGTGCCAGATTAGGGCACCTTAGTCTGTGAAGGAGAGCTGTTGGGATATGACCGTTGGAGGTTGCTGTCCACGTGGCGTGTAGATGCTGGCTGCCTTTGGGCGGGCGTCACCGGTTGGTTGAACCGACGGTACGTAATGATGGTTTTGCACATGGCGGCCCAGTTCCCGGCCCAAGCCCGGAGTTGGGAGCCTATAAATACCCTAGGCGTGACTTCACTTTCCTTTACGCATTCATTGTTGTAGCGAAGCTCTGGTAATTTTTCTAGAGAGATAAACACCTCCCTTCGATCAAATCATTCTTTCCGAGGTCAGTTCTTCACCCGCTCTTTGCTATATTAGTAAGTTTAGCTTCTGTGGCCTTAGATCCTTAGAAAATTTTCTTCCCTTGGACCCTTCAGCTTTAGTGTTCAAAAATGTCTTCAGCAAGTGATTCCCAAGACATCTCGAGGGTGGAAAGCATTTCGGACGTGGAATCCTCGAGTGGACAGCCTTCGGTAAGCGGTGATGCCGCCATAGCTATGGAAGTGCAAAAAGACCTCATTGCTGAAGCCGAAGCTGAGGACTTTGAACAAGTGGTAGAGGACGAGGAGATGGCAATCGCGATGCAGGCTGCCGAAGAGGAGGACGAGAAGGAGATGATGCAGGTTACCGTCGCCATCCTCCCCCCACGTAATGCTGGAAAAGTGAGTACCTCTCGGCCCCTCAATCCAGAGCCTCTTAGGGTGGTCCCAGGGAAGAAGAAGAGGGACAAGGCTGTGCTGAAGAAGAAGCAAGCAGCCGTAGACGCCGGGCGGCCGGTAGGTATCCGTGAGGGCCACTCTTTCTTGAACACCGATACCCTGGAGTTGAAGAGGAGGGCATCGCCTGCAGAATACCAGGCCACACAGATCATTGCCGTCCCTTCGTCATGCGTGGTCGAACCGGGGCCAGATGATTCGTTACTTTACGCACCCAAGGGCTGCTTCACCGTCCATATTTTATCACTCGAGATGGGGCTCCGGTTTCTGCTCCACCCTTTCCTGCTGGAGTACCTAAGGTTTGTGGGGCTGGCCCCCTGTCAGCTAACGCCCAACAGCCACTCTTACGTGGGCAGATTTCTTTCTCTGTGCCGGAGCCGAGGGGTCTCACCTACCCTCGACCAGTTTTTTCTGTCCTTCAACCTATGCCGGGGGGGGGGGGGGGGGGCATTCGAACGCAGAGGGCTTCGCCAACCTGCAGCAACTCCTGGAGTTCAGGCTGTTTGATGATGATCCTTCGTCCCACAAGGGATGGAAGGATAAGTTGTGTTACGTCCGCTTGGAGGAGAACCCCTTTCTGGCTCCGCTTCGCAATAGTTTTCGGCGACATCCGAAGGTTGAGGGGGCTGCCCTCGAGAAGAATGGCAGGAAGCTTGCCAAAAAGCCGGAGGGTTCTGATAAACATGTGTCAATCAAGGAAGCCATGCTCCCAGATGAACTGTTCAAGTTGAGCTTCCGTCGATATAGGCTAATGGGGGAGGAAGATGACAGATACCCCCCCATAGATCACGTCTTCGAGACTGTCAGAGTTGAATTCAGAAGGGTTTTTGTGTTGTGTACTTAAATTTTTTTTTATTCGTACATGTTTTTCCTTGACCCCTTCGATCTCATACTTGGTGTGTTTTTGCAGGTAGCAACATGGATGTGAACTCTCTTTTTGCCTTGAAGAAACAGAAGGGCAAGGCCAAGAAAACGAAGGAGCCGACTGCTCAGAAGCCGGTCGATGCCTTCTACAGGAAGGATGGGGAGGAGCCCTCCCAGGCTGTTGCTGGTGATGGAGCCGGGGGCTCTCAGGCCGATGCGGCCATCAAAAAGAAAAGGGCCGGGAAGGAGACCACGCCCCCGGCCAAGAAGCAAAAAGTTGTCGATCCCGGCAAGCAAACGGCCTCTGACATCGTGGTTGTCGAGGATGAGGAGCATGCCTCCGGCCCCATCCCCCAGGAGCACCCCAATTAGGACTTCTTCGGCCGGGAGAAGTTGGAAGCAATTTTACCGAAGGGAGCCTCCATCCTGGATGGCAGCCTCAGCCCTTCGGCGTTGATGTGCCAGGCGATGCCCTCGGCCGACCGGCTGACCTTTGCCAGGATGAGTGATGAGGGCCTCAACTCGAGGATTCGTCAGAATAGTGCCTCCGTAAGTTTCCTTTTTTCTCCTTTTCATGTTTATCTGCTTACGTGGGGGGTGTAACGTATGCAGCGTACCTGACCCCTTATGCTTTTTGCTGCAGGCCTTCATGGGACTTTGTGAGCAGCTCCGGAGGGTGGATCAGCTTAGGGAGGCCAAGCTTGCTGGCGACGGGGAGATAGCCGCTCTCATAAGAAAGTTGACTGAAGCTGAAGATGCCCTCTGGCTGACAAACGAGAGCGTCGAGCAGAGAGTCCAGGCTGCCAGGGCTGAGGGCAAGGATGAGGGACTGGCAGAGGTCGGGGAGGCAGCTACTGAAGCCGCCAGGAAAGCTACTGATGAGGCCAAGGCAGCCAAAGAGGAGGCCGCTACTAAGGCCCGAGAAGATTCTGTAGCCGCTTTTACTGCCGAGGGGTGGAAGACCGAAGGGCATAAAGAGTGGCTGGCCTCGGTGGTGGAGGCTTCGGTGGATGCTTTGGTTGGAGGCCCCGACAAGATGTGGTTGGCTGTGAAGGGTGACTCCTATTACCAGGGCGGAGAGTTCTTCACCCAACGCCTCATCTACCGGAAGCTGGATCAACATTTCAACATTCTGCCGGAGGAGTTCCAGCCCGAAGCTTATGGCCTCCCCCGGCAACCAGACGTCAGGATTCCCCTCCCCCAGGCGAAGAGAGGCCTGTGCTAGAGGATTCAGAGACAATGAGGGAATGCGGCCTCAGGGATGAAGATGAGGCTGAAGGTGGCGCCACCTCGAAGGTTGTGGAGGAAGATGTAGCCAATTGCACTTAGATAATTTTCGAACAATCTTTTGTAATAACAATTTAGAGCTTTCGGCTTCGGCCCGTTGCGTAACAAACACTTAACATTTTCCTCGTTTTGTCTAATGCATGCCTGCCTTCGGGTTTTTGATGACTAATTTTTCCCATTGTCTTTTGTGATGAATTAATGCCTTCGTTTTCTTTTATGCCTTCTTTTCATAGTTGTATGAATGTATGTCTGCACGATGAATTGACCGAGGGCCAATCAATTAGGACTTAGAAGATTTTTCTAAGTGTTGTTTGACCACTTGGCCTTCGTCGCATGGTGATTTGACCGAGGGCCAAACATTTAGGACTTAGAAAATTTTCTAAGTGATGTGCACCACGTGGCCTTCGGTTAATAGACCCATCTGGCTGTATGAAATAAGTATCCCTCGTCCTGAGCTCCCGGGGGATCTGGCGCTGTGGACTTAGTCATTTTTTCCTGGGCAGTGTCTTGAACATGCCTTCGGCTTGTAGTAGTCTTAGGAAAAGTTTTCCTTAGCAAAGGATGGTGATGCCGAGGGCCCCTAAGTCATGGACTTAGAGTATTTTGTATTGGGTCTGCAACCCGTAGTCCTTGGTAGAAACATGGAGTTAATTGATTTTTGACCCACTCATGGGAAAAGAGCTTCCGGTATTGATCGTCGTGCCGGAGGCTATTAGAGCGTGGATTTAGGAAATTTAAGCTTTTGGTTTGTGAGCAATCGCCTTCGGTAATGTCAGAGGATGCAGCAGTGTAAGTTAATCTTTAGCCCTTACCTAGCGTAGGAGCCTTCGGTGATCTTGGATTCCAAAGTGTGGACTTAGGATTTTTTGGGTCCAATATATTATAGTAGGTGCCCTCGATCCACGCAGGGATTGAGTGTCCTGCATACCGAGGGATGCCCTCGGTATTCTTTGAACTCCGAAAGCTGTAGTGATCTGGACTTAAACAAATCCACCCCAATAATGGGATTAGGGGCCTTGGTATTGGCTGGTGTCAGAGGCCACCAGATTGTGGACTCAGCCGCGTTTGGTAACAGTTGTTGAATAGTAGCCTTCGGAATAAGGGCCATTGTCAAAGGTGATTTCCTGAATAAGAGTCTTCAGGTCCCGGAAGTATTCCCCAAAGGAGCCTTCGGTATGGTCTGGATTACCTTGTGAGAAATATTTTTGCTAGCTGTAGACGGGTGTTTGTTGTAAATTTATATTCATTGATTGCTCGTTGAGTCTACTCCCCTTCACACCATTTTTTTATAGGGAAGGGAAGGCTTCAAGAAACTTAGTTTCTTGGTAAGTCTTGGCCTGTCGGGAGGCAACGGTATACACCACTGGCTCCCCCCTCAGGATTAACCTTCCGGGTTCCGAGGGGATCGAGGGTCGTTTCCTTGGAATGAGACATAGTATGTTTCTTGCCTCCCCTTGGGGGATTGCACAGAAAGCGCCTCAGTTTTGAAAGTCGTTCCCTCAGCACGAGACATAGTCTGTTGCCTGCCATTCCCTTGAGGTAATGGCGCGGGAAGCGTTTCATTTTGAAAGTCGAATCCTGAGGCATATTAGTTGCCTGCCATTTCCTTGGGGTAATGGTGCGGAAAGCGTTTCAGGGAAGGGTTTTATTTGCATATTAGTTGCAAAAGGCTGTGGTACTTGGTACCTTCGGCACCGATAGGTGGGGCCTTCGGCATAATTGCGTCCTCAAGGGGTACAACTTTGTTTTTAACACTTGGTGTTATTTACCGGATATCGCCCCCGGCATTGGGTACCGAGGGGTCGCATTTAAGAACACTTGGGGTTATATCATTGTAGTTGATTGGGGCATCCACCCCCGGCACTTGGTGCCGGGGGGTCTTGTGATAAGGCCTTGGGCCAGTAGCTTTGCAGGAGGGCTTGGTCGCTCGTGTGTGTTGTGTACTTGGTACTTTTAGTGCCTTCAACTTACATTTATTCTTGAAAAATAGGAGGCCTTGGGCCCTTGGATAATACATTATTAAGTCATGAGGGCTTGGTCTCTCATACGTTACTGAAAGAATTTGACGAGGTGGTGTACATTCCAGTGTCTAGGGACCTCGGTCCCATTGGGGCGTTTGAGCTTGTACGTTCCTGGTTTGATGATGGCTGTGACGATGTAGGGGCCTTCGAACTTTGGTGCCATTTTGGTAGGTTAGGTACAACACATGTGGGAAAAATCGCAACTCGGTGTATGGAGTCCCTCCCAATTATTCGTGTTATTTCTGGCAGGTTAGGTCAAAATAGCATCCGGTTGCCCCAAACATTTTTCCCAACTTCGGTTGGCATTTTATTGGGCTTCTATAACTATCACGATGTCCCAACTAAACATTTGGTAGCCCATTCTCAATATTACGGACCCGATAAATAATTTAATTAATCACCCATTAATTAAATACGCCATTCTTTTACACGAAATTATTCGCTAGAAAAATTCGAATACATACTGAATTTCGAATTCAAGTACATCCGGGTGCGGTGTCACACGCGTACCCGCAGGTAAACGGCCAGGTGGAAAATATGAACCGAACCATGATGGATGATATAAAGAAAAAACTGGAAGATTACTCCTCAACCTGGCCGGAGCAGTTGAACTATGTCCTGTGGACGTACAGGACGACTCCAAGGACGGCGACCGGGGAAACGCGGTTTGCACTGGCGTACGGTTTCCAGGCCAAAGTCCCCACCGAGGTACTCATGCCCACACACCGGACGTTGCAGTTTGACCCAGGACAGAACGTAGAAAATCTGAGGGCACGGTTGCACTTTATCGAGGAGAGAAGGGATCTAGCCGCACGACGCATGGAAGAATATCACCGGGTGACCGAGAGATATTTCAATAAGGCGGTGAAGATCAGAGAAATCAAAGTCGGAGACTTGGTACTGTGGAAGCGGGAGAAGAGTAAGCCGCTCGAGGGCGGCAAGATGGCCAAGAACTGGGAGGGGCCGTACAGGGTATATGAGAAGAGATTGGCGGCAGGGACGTTCCTCCTACAAACCTTGGAGGGACGCCTCGCTGGCATATGGAATGTGGAGCACCTGAAGATGTTCTACCAGTAGGTTCCCCTCGAAAAAAAACGGGGGGGGGGGGGGGGGGGGGGGGGTGGAAGGCAAAAAGGGAAGTTTCGGTTCGTACAATGTAACAACATGAATTAATGAAAACAGGAAGGCTTGGACATTAGCCTAAAAAGTCCCGTGGTTTTTCCCTTTCCGGGTTTCCACGATAAAATCATGGTGTACATTATCGGCATAGGAACACTACGAGCCTCCCAAAGGAGATTAACATTCCCCGTCGAGCGATTACAATCGCCCAAACGGTACAACCACCGCACCAAAGACCCCTAAAAAAAAGAGGGGCACTGGGGAATCCCCAAAGGGGATAAACCCGTTCCGCATCACAATCGCGGCCGAGCCCAACTCAGGATCCTAAGGACCGGGCCGAATGGGCAGGTAAGACGAGCGGATGACGGGACAAAGAACGGGGAATCCCCAAAGGGGATAAACCCATTCCGCATCACAATCGCGGCCGAGCCCATCTCAGGATCCAAAGGACCGGGCCAAATGGGCAGGTAAGATGAGCGGATGAAGGGACAAAGCTAAAGACCCCTCAAAAAAAAGAGGGGCATTGGGGAATCCCCAAAGGGGATAAACCCGTTCTGCATCACAATCGCGGCCGAGCCCAGCTCAGGATCCCAAGGACCGGGCCAAATGGGCAGGTAAGACGAACGGACGACGGGGCAAAACAAAAGACCTCTCCAAAAAAAATTGAGAGAGGCATTGGGGAATCCCCAAAGGGGATAAACCCATTCCGCATCACAATCGCGGCCGAGCCCAGCTCAGGATCCAAAGGACCGGGCCAAATGGGCAGGTAAGACGAGCGGATGACGGGACGAAGCTAAAGACCCCTCAAAAAAAAGAGGGGCACTGGGGAATCCCCAAAGGGGATAAACCCGTTCCGCATTACAATCACGGTCGAGCCCAGCTCAGGATCCCAAGGACCAGGCCAAAATGGCAGGTAAGACGAGCGGGTGACGGAACGAAGTCAAAGACCTCCAAAAAAAGAGAAAAGAGGGAGGCACTAGGAACGAAGTTAAAAGACGATCATAGCAATCAAGCAATACACTTTATTCATTGGCTCTACCGGCCGGAAAGTACATATGCACACACGAGTTCGGAGTGAAATCAAGACTACAAAATAACTGAAGTTGTCACGCCTCGGGGAGCTATCCATGAATATAGATATGCCTGCAAGAGCTTTCTATGAACCCAAAGGCATGAGGGCTGAAGTAAGCCATCTTAAAAACATCAGGCGCTTTAAGAAGAACGGCCTGCTAGCCAGAAGGTGCGGCCGACAAGTAGAATTTGACAAACTCACTCAGCTACAAGAGGGGTCATCCTTTGCCTGAGACTTCTCCTTCAAAGCCTCCTCATAAGCCTCAGCGAACGAGGCATTGAAACCAGCACCCTCAGGATCAAACAGAGTGGGGAGGTAACACTCAAGAGCCGGGAGGTTTCCGGCCAAAAGGCCGATCATCCCTTTAGAAAAAGTATCGTGGGTAAGCTCTGCAAGGAACTCCCGGCCGGCGGAGGTCCCCAATACCAGCTCAATGTCGTATTTCAACATATCAGAACTCTTAGCCAGAAACTCCCCGAAGCTCTGGGCAAGACGCTCCTTCACACGGACGTTCATGGCATCGACGCAGGCTCTGGACTTCTGGAACTCAATGGAGCCAGCTTCCTTGATTTTGGAAACATCAGCCTCAAAAATAGGGACGGCCCCCTCCACACCAACCTGGCGAAGCTGCACGTCGGATTTCTCCACGGCGGCCATTTTGGCACGAAGCAGCTGCAGCTCCTCGGCTTGTTTCTTGACCATCTCCTGAAGAGACGAACTCCCCTTAGCAAGCCCAAAAGCAACGTTCAAGTCCTGCCGCATCTTGCTCAGGCGCTCTTTGGCCTTCTTCACCAGATCATCGGCTTCACAACGCACCTGGGTGGAAGCATGCTCCTGAGCTTCATAGGCAAATCGCGCCTTGCAGAAATAGATAACAGCCTTATTAAGAGTGCTAAGGCCGCACTCATGAAGATCCACCGCGCTCTCACGGGCGGCGAAGCCATGAG